GGGGTTTAGGGTTTGGGGTTAGGGAGGCTCAGAAAATACGTGACCCCATATCTAACACCCTAGATAGTAGGTGCCCTTCGCTGAAGGACTCCAACCTTAAACCGAAAAACCTTAGCCACTAGTCCCTTAGTTCTTAGGAACCCCATATGAAATAATAAGGCTGGACACCTTTGCGCAGCACGAACTTCTGATGAAATTGAGGGCCTCAACCCTAATATTGGTAATGAGTTGGACATGTAGACAAGTGGTGGAGCTGGCAATAGGAAGGCTTAGATTTCAGATGCCTTCAAAACGCGAGGGTTTAGGGTTTGGGGCCCAAGGCGGCAGGTTTCATAAGGACCCTCTACCCCCTTCTCCCTTAACCTCCCCTAAGGGTCCTTATGATGCACATGCCGTGAGGCTCATAAAGGCATGATTTCAGCCAAGCCGAGACCATGGGCCGTCTCTGTCCACATCATGCATGTATCATACATCCGGGGCACCTCTGCCAATCGTTCCGAATTCTAGCATGTCATTACATTCTGGCGGCAAGCAGGTTTGCTCTATATAGAATGGAATGCTGGTGAGGCTTTGGGCTTGGGGCAGACAGGACATCACGGTCTCAGCACGCTTGCCGCCTTCTTTGCCGGTTCAACAAAATTTCTGCAAGTTCGCTGCCACCTCAGTCCATCTCCGGGAGTCGTGTAGATCGGAAGAAGCCAGAAGAGCATGTTACGACCAAGAACACTTTGAACATTGGCGAAAGCTCCCAGATCATAGGGGGAGATGTATTGGCCCCGTCCCAACTGTTCGCAGAACTCAATGGTCGTCATGTTCTTGCAGAGCATCCACAGATGAAATACGAGGAAAGGGGTCAAGCAAAGCCCGAGCAGGCCAGACAGCGCCAAGCTTTCCAACACAAAGGCTGTAGTCCCAGGTACCAACGCGCCCGCCCAAATGGCTGTCATGGCAAGCCCGAAGACCGAGTCGGTACAGATGACGGTGTAAAGCCTGGGCTCTTCAAAAATGTGAGCTTTGGCTCCTTCTTAACACTTACAACGCTAAACAGACACGCACATGTAAGTGTTCATATATATATATATATTTATATTTATTTATTTATTTATTTATTTATTTATGTTTATATTTATATTTATATTTATATTTATATCTATATCTATATTTATATTTATATTTATTTATATTTTTTATTTATCTATACTTACTGACTTTTTTGTTTGTTCGTATATGTATGTGTACGTATATAAATGAATATGTATTAAATGTAACAACGAAGCTGAAAATGAATATACATGTGTATATATATATATATAAAGATATGACATTGCTTTGTCTATTTATGTTTGTGTATATTTAGTTACTTACTTTTCGACTATACGAAAAACTGACTTGCACGTTCCAGAAAAATCCAAGCAGCAGGAACAGCAGGAAATACTTGTAGTTCGCAAACCCAATACAATTGCCCATCCATGGGCAATAGTGGTCCATGCGAAGCACATTCCGCTGCATGTTGGAACAAAAGTGCGATCTGTCTGGCTTGTACTTCCTGGGCTTTTCCACAGACGCAATGAACATAAGCCGCTTGTTTGGAGGCACCGCTTCTACAGTGTCCTACACCAGCCACTACTTCTGAAGCCCTTCACCCCCAACCCACCTTAACCCTCAACCCTAAACCCCAAACCCTAAACCCTAAACCCTAAACCCTAAACCCTAAACCCAACCCTAGGCTCGAACTCCGATACTATACCCTTGCCTGGCCCTTAACCCTCAACTCAAACCCCCTAAATCTGAACAACATCCGAGAGTCATCTCCTTGCTGCAAAAGCGCATGTCGCCGGTGGACTTCTTCCGCTCCAAGATCATGCTGGCCACCCGTTCTCTGGTCCCTGGCCCCTCGCGCCAAGATTCAGGAACTCTACCGGGATCTGTAACGACTGCCTGATGGTAAGACACTAGCGCCATCAGGAAGGAGGCATGGAAGAGGTAGCACATCTGCGTACTAAGATCGCAAGCAGGATTCGCACGAAGGCAGCACAAGAAGAACACAAAATAGAGAATGCCCATCATCATCAGCACTGTTACCATTGGGACCGCATCGTGCAAAGTCTTGCCCTCGAAGCGCTTCGACAACGGGCAGGCCTCAAGAGCCTGACACGCTGAAACTCCATCTGCCAGGAGGCTCGTGGCGCCTGTGACAATGCTATTCAACCAGATGTGAAGGTCCAAAGCCAGCTCCATCACGGCCAGCCATGCCAATGAGAGTGTTCCGAGACCCTTTTGGCAAACTTCCTCTGAGCTAGCCTCTGCCTCCCCCAAGCACGAGGCTACACCCAAGAAGCATGCAAAGATCGTCCCGGTCCCCAACGACCTCCCCATCTGCGGCAGAGGAGTGGAGCCATAATGGCTCACCTCCACATCTCCTAGCAAGGTGCCTTTGCTTGGCCCAGGCTCCCCAGGGAGCAGCCCAGGGCTGAACCTCCCCGGCATCTTTTCGTCGCCCCCTCCTTGCCAGGGAACTTCGACGAAGGAACGAAGCTCGAGCCGAGCTGCGACAGACTTTAGAGTGATCACTAACACTCCATTACGAACTGCCAGTGCTTCTTTACTCTGTCATAGAACCTAAACTCCTAAACCCTGGACCCTAGATAAAGCTTAAATATCCCTGAGCTCATGAATACGCTAGACCCCACGAAGCCCAAAACCCAAACTTCTCCAGATGCTTCGCAGGGCTCTAACTTCGGAATCTGGAAGCAGCATAATCCCAAATCCCAAGACCCCCACGAAACACAAAGTCCCCTCCCCTCCCCGCCAACAAAAACAGACAGAATGGCAACCCTAAACCCCTAAACCCCTAAACCCTAAACCCCTAAACCCTTTAAACCCCTAAACCCCCTCAAACCTAAACCCTAAACCCCAAAACCCCCTAAACCCCTAAAAAAACCCTGGAACCCCCAAAACCCCTACGAAAGCCCCGCGCCTGGGCGCCCTGTGCTGCCTCTGAGCTCCAGGCTCGGCAGTGCCGGCGAAGCGCCTCGCCGCTTGCTTGCGCTTGAGGGCTTTAGTGTTCAGGACTTTAGGGTTTTATCACTGTTGGGCCTCTTGGGTTTAGGGTTTCTTTAAGGGTTTAGGGTTTATGGGGGTTTGAGGGGCTTAGGGGTTTAGGGTTTAGGACTTTAGGGCTTTGGGGTAAAGGGGGATTTAGAGTTTAGGGTTTAGGACTTTAGGATTGCAGGGTTTTGCGTGTGGTCTTTAAGGGCTTAAGGTTTAAGGGGCATTTTAGCTGCGGATTTTAGGGTTTGGAGTTGAGGGTTTAAGGATTACTGTAGGGTGGGGCATTTGGGGTCTAGAGTTTAGGGTTTGGGGTTTAGGGTTTCGGGTCTATACATCCCGGTAGACGACCTCCTAATCGTGGCCAGAACAACCGGCCTCCTGATCGCCGCAATGAGAAGCGGCGTCACGTAGTTCTACACGATGACACAGCGAACTAGCAACCCGACATCATACAGCCATCAACAACTTTCTCCCAGGTCAGGCCGTCTCAGAAGTATTCCGAAGCCAGACCCTTTTCAGTCCAAGCAGGATAAGATGAAATGATGAAATGTAGCAATGGCCTGCCTGGGCCCTTTCTCTCAGGGTGTGCCTGCTGCTTCTCTTCCATGGCCGCCGCTTGCCTGGCTTCCCCCTCTGCCTGCAGCCGGGTGAATCGGATTCCGCAAGAGAACCTATGACCAAGAAGCACCAAAACAAAACCAACCCCGAAAGCAGCCTGAACCGTAGCTTCAGTGCTTGGAGTTTAGGAAAGATTGAACAGCGCTACTACTGCTGATCTTTCAGCTCGTTGCACCAGTACGATGGCCGTGATGCAAGTGCGACTGAAGTGGCTGCTCCTGCGGCTCCCGAAGCCCTGAAACCCAGAGGCCCTCAGCCCTCAAACTGGCAAGGCAGGTTCACCGACGCTACTCAAAGGTTCATGGGACTTAGTAACTAGGGTTCTAAATAAGGTAACTGAACCTATAATCACTTATGACCCCAATTGAGGGACTTGTAACTGTACTTATTAAGTCCCATGAACCTCCAAGTAAAGTTGGAGAGAGTCCTTATCGGTATCGCATGCCCTAAACCCTAAACCCTAAACCCTAAACCCTAAACCCTAAACCCTAAACCCTAAACGGTGGCCGAAGAACCGGATCTACAGCAAAACCGAACGCCAAGGAAAACGATTCCTGTACAAACCCAGCAGCGGGCAGGTTTCCCGGAAGCCTCTGCTCTTCGAACAGCACACCCCAAACCTAAAACCCTAAAACCCAAGAACCGAAGTCCCAAACTTCGCGAGGCTTAGGGCACCCTAAACCCTAAACCCTAAACCCTAAACCGTAAACCCCTAAACCGCGCCCCACAAGTCTCTCCGCAGGGCATCCAACAAAAAACTGCAAGAAGCAAGGACTGGCCTGCAACCGTCGCGCCTCCGACACCTGAAGAGAGGGTAGGCTTTAGGGTTTAGGGTTTAGGTTTAGGGTTTAATTTTAGCGTTTAGGGTTTAGGGTTTAGGATGCTTCTGACAATGTGGTCCTTTGCCAAGATAAGAGCAAGTTTCGGTTGAGTTCAAGCTCATAGGGCCCCAAAAAAGCCGTAAGCAACAATTAGGATAGGGATATCCCATAAAAACCCCCTTAGAATGAAGCCGAATAAGGTAGGGATATCCCTATAGAATACCCTAAACCCTAAACCCTAAACCCTAAACCACTTATGCTTAGGTTCTTTTTGGGGTTCCTAGGCTCAAGCCTTCAACCCGAAGCTCGACACGGCCCGATGACGAGGCCTTGGAGGCATGAGGACCTTGTTTAAGGTTTAGGGTTTAGGGTTTAGGGGTTTAGGGTTTATGGTTTAGTGTTTGGAGTTTAGGGTTTACGGTTTGGGGTTTAGGGGTTTAGGGTTTAGGGTTTGGGGTTTAGGGGTTTAGGGGTTTAGGGTTTAGGGGTTAGGGTTTAAGGTTTAGGGGTTCAAGGTTTTAGGGCTTAAGGTTGAGCGTTTAGTAGGGTTGAGCGCTTAGGAGGTGAGAGCTTCATTTAAACCTTGAGGCTAGGGTTTCAAGCCCCAAACATCCCAGAAAACAAATGCCCTAAGCCCGATACTCAGCCCCATCTCTAAACCCCTAAACCCCTAAACCCTAAACCCTCAGCCCCATCTCTAAACGCCAAATCCAAAGCCCTACACCCTCAAATCCTTGCCTCGGCAGTGATCTGCTGCTGGAGCTCCTGCTGTTCGCAGCTTAGGGTTTTTTAAACCCTAAACCTAACCCTCAACCCTCAACTCTTAACTCTAAACCCTAAACCCTAAAAGCAAACCCCTAAAACCCCTAACACCCCTAACACGCCTGAAACCCCTAAGACCCGTAAACCTCGTAAACCTCAAGCGCGAAACGATTGGGATCCTTGGGCTTCGGGTTTTGCGCTTGGGTTGTGGGGGCCTGGTGGGCGTACCTTTGGGGGTGGAGCCCAGAGGCGTTCTGAGCTTTAGGGCTTTAGAAATTAGAGTTTAGGGCTTAGGGTTTGGGGCTTAGGGTTTAGGGTTTGGGGTTTAGGGTTTAGGGTTTAGGGTTTAGGGTTTAGGGGTGGATATAGGATGCTGGGTGCAAACTACTCTTAAGGAGCCCGCTTGGGTTGAAAATGGAGGGTTTAGGGTTTAGGGTTTAGGGTTTAGGGGTTTAGGGTTTAGGGTTTAGGGTTTAGGGTTTAGGGTTTAGGGTTTAGGGTAAGATTCTATGCAGATGGTCTCTGATTGTTGTTTTGTGGTTGCAAACGGCATCACGCACCCAAGAGGCTGCTTCTACTTCTATCACCAAAACACAGACTTCCAGCAAGCTCCACAGTCACACAAGTGCTGAAGCACCCATATACCTAAGCCAGGACATCGGAACCCAAGTGTGAGCAAGTCCTAAATCGTCACCTAAACCCCACACATCTCCTGAGTTGCATCAGTGGAGGCAACCGTTGAGACCCTGGAGCCCTACGCAACTCCACACTTCCCTCGAAAATCCCTAAACCCTAAACCTAAACCCTAAACCCCAAACCCAAACCCTAAAAGTCTCTCCATGGCGATCACAGACGGGGGCCTTCGTCTCAAAGCCTAAGCCCGACGTCCTCGAAACCTGAACCTTGAAGGCGTAAAACCCCGAACCCCAAACCCTAAACCAAGAAAACTTAGGGTCCCTACATCCTGAGCCGCTACATCCCACCGCAAGTCTGTTCGTCCCAGGCCTTCAATTGCGTGCAGCTGCCTTCCTTTGGCAGAAGTGCGTGGCCTACTGTAAGGGCCTCACTACTTGTAGCCAGGTGTTGAGGTACGTTGTAGTAGTACAACAATGGAGGACCCGAAGCAATAGCATTGGTACGTATTCAGGCCCTAAACCCTAAACCCTAAACCGGCCCTTATATCACATCAACCAAACGGTGAATCCTTTCCATGCAGTCAGACGGAAGGTTTAGGGTTTTGGGGCTTTCGGGTAGTATTGTTTAGGGCTTGAGCTAGAGGGTTTCGGGTTTTTGAGTTATAGAAAATTTAGGGCCCTAAACCCTAAAACCCTGAACCCTAAACCCTAAACCCCTAAAACCCTGAACCCTAAACCCTAAACCTTTGGTTTAGGGTTTTAGGATTTTAGGGTTTGAGAGGCGTGAGGCTTCGGGGGCTTCAGGTTTGGAGTTCCGCTAGGGAAGACCCAGAGAGCCCAATACCCCCTTAATGAAGGAATATACCTAGGGTTTTGGTTTAGGGTTTAGGGTTTAGGGTTTAGGGTTTAGGGTTTAGGGCTGAGAGCCCAATGCCCCTTAAAATAAGGAATATACCTTAAATCAGAATCTTAAGGCCTCTATGATTTAAGGTACATTCCGTAGTTAAGGAATATACCTTAAATCAGAATATTAAGGCCCCCATGATTTAAGGTACATTCCTTAATTAAGGGGTATTGGGTTCTCTGGGAAGCTTCCTGAGCGGGTGGAGCACCAGACGGCGATATCGCAACTGCGAGCTTGAGTTGTTGGCCTTAAGACGGCCTGGGTAGGGTGGAATTACTTAAAGGCCCATGGGACTTAGTAATTAGGGTTATGGTTAAGGTAACTGTACTTATAACCTCAATTAGGGTACTTATAACTGTACTTATTACGTCCCATGAACCTCCAAGTAAGGTGTAAACAAAACTTCCGCAGCAAGATTCCAGCCTTGCCCTGACCAACGTCCAAGTTTGGGGAGGACCTCTGAGTTGCAGGGTTCTCAGATGTCAAAATTAAAGGAAACTACAGCTGGGGAGTTTAGGGTATATAGGGCTTCTATAAGGCCTCCATAAGGTATATAGACCTTCTACAAGGTTCCTATAACGATAACTACCCACCTGAAAATGTCCGAGACAACAACCCTGACATGTCCACTGGGCTCAAATGAAGGCTGCTCCGACCCCCAGGGGACTCTGCGACTACCACAATCATTGCCAATGATCACCAAAGCGACTCTAACCGTAAGCAGCAAGATAGCAAGTGCGGTCACACTTCTGCTAAATCCGAAGCCTAAGCCTACAAGCCGCCACAGCATCACACAAGTTTTATCGGAGTCCTTGACTGAGTGCAGCTTGTGCCGCAGACTCTGCACAGAGGTCGACTGCTTGGAAACAGCTCCCTCAACAACGACCTTGGGGCAGAATGCGGACTTGGGGGTACAATGCAGGCGAAACGTAGCTCGGGAAACATTGTCGCTTTTTCATTTCTTCCATGGCCAATCACTTCTTGTACAAGTGGGCCTGGTAAATGGGAGAGCATGTGTTCGCAGCATGTCTGCCTAACCGATGAGCTAGCTCGAATGCGAAAGATTCAAGGGTTAGGGGCGACAAAAGGAAGCCTGGTCAAGTCCTCGACGTAGATCAGGAAACTTAGCAAGCACAGAAAAAGTAGGGTTGTTTGCCGTATTCACGACCACACATATAACTTATGACCTACTTGCCAAGTCCCATGCTCGCTCAAGTAAAAGTATAAACAAGCCCTAGAAACAAAGCCCATAAACCCCCCAGAACATCAACAAACCATACATATATGTCCCTAGCCGGGACTGCATGGAGGTTTGCCATAATGAAATTCTCATTTGATGACCAGCAAACGTGGACGCCTAAGTAGATTTTAAAAACCCCATATAGGGTAGTTCTCTAAATTAGCATATAAAAGGGACCCCCCAAACGGGACCCTAATATTGAAAACTACCCATATAGGGTGGGCACAACTATTTTTAGGATTTCGTCTGAAGGATTGTGGAGTTCTCTTGAGGTTCCTAACACAGAAAATCCCCACAGCGGCAAGAATCCTAAGACTCTCAGCTCTAACCCGGGGTTTAGGGTTGATGGTTTAGGGTTTAGTTAGGGTTTAGGGTTTGGGGCTTTAGGGTTTTAGGGTTAAGGGTCAGCTCTAGACCCTAAACGCCAGACGCTCTCAGGGTCAGGGCCAAGCGATCTTGAAGCGTCTGGAAATCCGCTGTCAGCTGCTCGATGAGCACCCTGGCCCCATGGAGCTCAGTTGCACTTGGGCCAGTCATGCTTAGGGGGTGTACGGTACTATCTATCTACCTATCTATCGATGATACTAATAAGAGTTCTCATAGTACTAACACTAACAATAATAATAACAATAAGAAGAAGAATAGCAGTACTAATCATAATAATGACAGTAAAAAGAAATAAGAACGATATTAATTATGTTCAGAATCATAATCATCACAATAAGAAGAATTGAAAAAAAAAACAATAATAGGACTAACCGTAACAATAACAATCACAATCACAGTCACAATACCAATACCAATACCAATAAGAATAATAATGATAATGGTAATAAAACAGTAGTACTGGCCACAACAATAGCCATTGCTATTATATTTAGTCTAAAATGTTTATGTTTATCCAAGATTACTGAGGAACCCCAAAGAGTAGTGGCATTACTAAGAGTGCTCAGGCTTCGGTGCTATTACCTCTCTGAATCCGTGTCCAAGGGCCTTTGGCATTGCAGCCCCTTCTCGTTGGCAGCGACCGTCTCGTCCACCTTCCCAGACCCCCGGACGGATCTAGAAAGTAGAACTCCTAATTTGGGACCCTATACTACTAAGGAACCTTTATAGGAACCCCCATTAAGGGATCTACTCCCAAAACCCCCTACAAATCTCCTATAATCCCTGTAGATCCCTTTAAAGGAACCCCCATTAAGGGATCTACTTTTTGGATCCTCCCGAGGGTCTGGGTTAGGGTTTAGGGCTTATAGGCTCTCGGAATCCATGCCTTGAGGATGGCTGGGATGGCCTGAGGTTTACGATGATGGCTTGGGGTTCAGGGTTTAGGGTTTAGGGTTTAGGGTTTAGGGGTTTAGGGGTTTAGGGTTGGTGTTTGTTCGGCTTCGGGGTTTAGGGTTAAGGGCTTACTTAGGGTTTGGGGTTGGGGGCCAAAAAGGCATCCCTTTAAGGTCACTGTAAGGGATGTGGGGTGTGGGTCTTGATTACATAGACTAGATATTACATTTCGGTGGATTCTATCGGGGTTGTGAGGCTCTTCCATTAGAAAAGATTCTATGAGCATTTTATCTCTAAGCGCTTCTTAGGATGTTTCTTCATCTTTGTTCTAGTACAAGCCAGGCTCATGGTTTCTCAAGCAGACTATCCGGGTTTTGGAGGAAAGGGGGCTTCGCATCTCAGGGTGTTCAGGGTGGCGAGCTCAGAATGAGTACCATCCGACGTAAGAAGCCCGAGCAGTATTATTCGTGAGGAAGATCGGGTGTCCACCTGACCTAAACCCTAAACCCTGATCCCAAAACCCTAAACCCTGATCCCTAAACCCTAAACCCCTAAACCCTAAACCCCGAACCCTAAACCCTAAACCGCGCGCAAAATTCTAATCATAAAGCCTCCAGCCCTCAACTCAACCCGACCCGGACCTCCCGAAAAGGCCTTATTTCAGGGGCCTCTCATATTCCCCATTAAGCGGTGCTTGGGCCTGGGGGCTACCATGAAGGGTAGTTTGGGGGTCGAGGGTTTAAGGTTAAGAGTTTAGGGTAAACCCTCAACCCTCAACCCTCAACCCTCAACCCTAAACCCTAAACCCTAAACCCTAAACCCTCTAAACCCTCAACCCTAAACCCTAAACTCCCTAAACCCTAAACCCTAAGACCCTGAACCCGAGGATTCTTTGT